ACAACTCTGCCTCCTACAACAAAATGTCGGTCGAATACAAATACGAGATGATGCCGAACCGCACGTGGCGCTGTCGGGTGTTCTTGCAAGATCACTGCTTGGCCGAGGGTTACGGAACCAAGAAGACCAGCAAGCATGCGGCCGCCGACGAGGCTTTGAAAATCCTTCAAAAGACACAGCCCACCTACCCGTCCGTCAAAAGTTCACAGTGCCAGACAGGCTCTTCACCCCGTGGGTCTGGGAAGAAGAAAGATATAAAGGATCTCGTCGTTTACGAGAATTCCTCCAATCCAGTGTGCACGCTGAATGACACCGCTCAGTTCAACCGGATGACTGTCGAGTACGTGTACGAAAGGATGACGGGCCTCCGCTGGAAGTGCAAGGTGATTCTGGAGAGCGAAGTGATCGCCGAAGCAGTCGGGGTGAAGAAGACTGTCAAGTACGAGGCTGCTGGGGAGGCGGTAAAGACCCTCAAAAAGACCCAACCGACCGTCATTAACAATTTGAAGAAAGGAGCTATCGAAGACGTGATTTCACGAAACGAAATCCAGGGCCGCTCAGCAGAGGAGGCTTACAAACAGCAAATCAAGGAGGATAACATAGGAAACCAGCTGCTAAGAAAGATGGGCTGGACAGGTGGTGGGTTAGGCAAGTCTGGTGAGGGCATCCGGGAGCCCATCTCCGTCAAGGAGCAGCATAAGCGAGAAGGGCTTGGTCTCGACGTAGAGAGGGTGAACAAAATCGCCAAGAGAGATATTGAACAGATCATCAGAAACTATGCCCGCTCGGAGAGCCACACGGATTTGACTTTCTCCACGGAGCTGACTAACGATGAGCGGAAGCAAATACATCAGATTGCCCAGAAGTATGGCCTGAAGAGTAAGTCGCACGGGGTAGGCCACGATAGGTACCTGGTGGTAGGTAGGAAGAGACGGAAGGAGGACCTGCTGGATCAGCTCAAACAGGAGGGCCAGGTGGGGCATTACGAGCTTGTGATGCCTCAGGCAAATTGAGGCGTTGCTAATTTATTTTGTAAATGCCCGACGAGGCAGATTTGTGAATTCAAGAAATGCTACATGTCCTGACTGCAGAGTATATTCATTCTTAAGATGTTTCACCTTGTTCATTTCATATAGTGCTTTACTAGGTATTGGAAGCCGAAGACTTCCGTCCACTTGTGTTAGCTTCATCCAGCGGAGGGTACTGTGCGGTTACTGCTTGTGTCTCTGATCTCACTGTGTCCCTCAGATTTTGGTAGTTTGTACAAAGCAAGACACACGTCCAAGTGGAATTTCACCTCGAGAAAAGAAATTCCCATTTTAAAGGGCCTAGCACAGCGATCCGCCAACAATAGGTAGAGGTGACATGGACTACAATAAAACTACCGTCTTAATTCCAGACTTACTGAAAATGTCCGATCATTTTGTATTCCTATTTTCATCTTTGTGTGAAGCCAGTTAAAGAATGTTTAACAGTAAATTGTGCTGTACGTGTAAATGTCCTTACCGACTAAACGATGTAAAACTTTCTTAAAGTAATTTTAGTGTTCATTTATTTATAACTTCTACCATGTGGTTTCCCGAATACTGAAAGTGGTTTACTGTATCTTGTGATATCTGAGTTTTAACCAATTCTAGTCTTCACGCCGAGAGAGCACTACTTGAGAGAGCAGTTGAAAAGTTGCAGAAACTTCGATTCAGTCTGAAGGAAGGAAGCTGGAGCTGTTCGTTCTTGGTGCCTTGCAGAGACAGCAACCCTCCGTGACAGCTTTTGCGCGGTGTGTGTGCGCCCAGGGTGGCCACAGCCGCAGTGGGACTTGGAAAGAGGCCAGAGACACACTGGTGCTTTGATGACAAGGTCAGCTGGCCGCTCCCTCTCTCGAGAAGCTTACCGAGCCCCAAAAGCCAACTTTGTAACATATTTAAAACTGCTATTTTCGCTTATTTCTGGAATGTAAAAAAAAAAAAATGTATAAAAAGAATTAGCATATGCTTCCTGAATAAAAAGGAGCCGGAGTTGATCAAAATGGCAGCGTGCTTATTGCTGGGCAAAGGCCCAGTAGCGGCGCTTTGGACCCTTGGAGTCGGGACGTGCTGTTTGTACACAATAGCTCAAGCCCCGAGCACGCGTGGATGAACCTAGAAGGACTTAGCAGATATGAACAGTTAACTGGTCGCCCGTCACGTTTTCCTGTGGCCCAGCCTGCTGGCTGCAACCGAATCTCAGGCTGTTTACTTTGACATGATTTTGGTTTTGTATCGCACATAGAGCAAGTCTTAATATTTACAGTATTACTCTTTTTAAAAATTTTTTTAATGTTTTATTTATTTGTGAGAGAGAGACACAGGGTGAGCAGGGGAGGGTCAGAGGGAGAGGGAGACACAGAATCTGAAACAGGCCCCAGGCTCTGAGCTGGCAGTCAGCACAGAGCCCGACGCAGGGCTCTAACCCACGAATCGTGAGATCATGACCGGAGCCGAAGCTGGATGCTCAACCGAATTAGCCACCCAGGCGCCCCTAGAGTATTACTCTTCAGAGAGGAGTATTCATCTCGATAGTGGAGCACTCCAACGAGATGCTAGGACACATAGGGCGCTCACAGTGTCTTAAAACATTTAGCACCGTATTTGACGTGCAGTTGGCCCACAAGACACGGTACTGTCCTTTCCCCTCTCTTAATATTTTGCATGAAGAAGCTGTCCATGGTAGTTAAATCAATATCTTAAGAATATAAAGGGATTCACCTTTACACCTGGGTCTCCACGTTTTAGTCCCCCACAGTGATGAACAGCATGTGGTACTTGCTTTCCACCGACTCCCTTTCCTCCTATGGTGGATGGCCTCTCCTAATGTCAGTAGGAAGAGAAATGAGCGCACCTTCTGTTTTGGCACTTCACGTTTTAACGGTGGCAAAGGGAACGGAAGCTAGAATGTTTATAGATTTTATAGGATTTTTTTTTTTTTTTACCTACAGGGCTCATGCCAAACTTGAGAAGCTGCGGTTTAGCTAGTGAGTTGGAAAAGCCAGCCTTCGTTCCCTTGAGTAGGAGTGGCTTTGGGGATTAAGGGGTATGAAAAGTCATTTCTCTCTTTACATCGCTTTCCTTTTTCCGGCATGATGTTGGGGGTGGGAAGTAGGGAAATGTTACCTATGAATCTGATTTACTTAGATAAGTTCAACAGAACAGAATATTGTCAGTCAAGGCTCCCAAATAATTGGGCCGTGTGTGTGTGTGTGTGTGTGTGTATTTGTGTATGGAGGGCAGGGGACAAGTATATATTTGGTTCTGGATTTGAGGGTCCAGATTTCCTAACTTCTTAAATTAGCTTTGGTATTGATGTGGAATTAGGGTGAAGTCACTTAACTCTGTTTGAAAATAAAATATGTTGAGAAATGGATTTGAGAATGAGCTGCTAGACAACTTTGCTGCTCTATTTTGTCCCCATTCTGTTGGCTCCTGTATTTTCCCTTTCTTCAAAATTGCAGTCATTTTTAACTCCGTCCCTTTGCTATAAAACCTGCACTATAGATAAATGAGCTGCTTCAAGTTATATTTGAATTAAATATGTTAGACTGAGGAAGTAACTCCGTCAGTTATATACATAGCCTCAAGTCTCACAGATCTGGATTTTTTTCCCCTCCCCTTTGATTGCAAAGTGAATGGGCATATCATGCATTCTCTTGGGATTCTTTTTTTAGTAGAATACGATGCATTCACTTTGCCTAACCCCTGAGGCTGGAGATGGGTCCTAAACTAAAGGACTCTTGATTACAAGTTTGGTTCTTCCTCGTGCCCCCAGCCCAGTATCAGCAGGTGCAGAAAGGAAGACTCAAGTTCAAATCAGACTGTCGTTTGTAAAGGGATCTCCAAATCTGTTTTAACTGTATGGTTATAATTACATGCAGGCAGCCTGTGGCATTTGTGAAAAAACATTGTAAAGAAAAAGGCAAGTTAGCATTAAGTGTGTGAATGAATGGTTTTTGTAGTGCCTTTGACCTTGGGATAAGATGCCTTTAGAGATCAGCTTGTTGGCTCTTTCGTAAGGTTTTCAAAGGATTATCCCATGAAAAAAATTGGGAATAGGGTTTCTCAGGAGGCGTATAAAAAGGAAAAACGATGAAATCTGTACTCTCCATCTCGCCTTTAATTTTTCCAAGTGTGACTGAAAGTGTCAATATTTAAGGTACCCCACCACGGTAGGATGACAAAGTTAATGTCAAATAAAGACCAATGTAATGTGGCTCTACTTTGAAGCAGAAATGGACTTCGCGGAAAACAGCAAACGTGTATTTAGGGACGCTGCTGCTGGTGGAACGGACCTGGTGCCGTGTGGCATGAACTCTGCCACCCTGAGGCTCCTTTAGGTGCCGCGTCTGAAAGGATGAGTACACACGCCATGAAGCCATAGTTTAACCTCCTGGAGCCCCTGCCCCGAACGAGAGGAGCACTCCGCCGGAGCACTCCCACCGAGTCACTGCTCCGGGGTCTTTAGAATGAGATGGGCCGCTCCCCAGGAGAGAGCAGTTCTGTTTCACCAAGAGAAGATTGTACTCCCCACACAGGAGCTAAAATACCGTTCTAGAAGAGTTTGGTACTGTTCATTAAAAGCTAGGGCTCTTTAAAGAGGTGGAATGTCAGGATCAACAAGTGAGATCATGGCATCTGAGGGTGCTGCTACAGACCCGGGTTTGTCGTCCCCGCCCCCAACCGCACTCCATTCGCTTGACCGACCAAACTATATGCTGAAGGAACTTTGTTTTATTTAACAGTTTTACATTCTTGTTAAAACGTTAAAAAAAGAACAAAGCATTAACACTTATGACAAGAAAGAAGGCCCTCTCCAACAGGATCTACTCCTCTTCTTCCTCTCGCAGAGGGTTGTGATTTCGCTTTCACCATGTCTATTTCAAGGGGCAACGTGAGTGGATGTGAGATTCCAATAAGTTAATACTAAAAGTTCATAGTGAGCTAAAATATAATTATACCTTGACTACAAAATTTTAAGGTTATTTTTATTTACAAGGTTTGAAAAATGTACATTTTTTTACATGGGTTACTTGTGCAAAGTTCGATTCAGAAGAGTGACAAACGCACAAAAGGTGACGATGGGAATGTCAGACGAAACGTGTATAAGCCCCGTCCCACGCTGCGGCTTAAACGCACTGCCTGTCTAAAGTATAAATGTCCACAGGAAAATCACGAACGTTGACTTGAAGGTCCTTATAATACTGAAAGGGAAGAAGAAACTACAGCATGCAGCAAGAACTCAGGAGTCAAGTGGAAAAATAGTTTGCCACAGATGGGCTCCCTTCCTTGGGTTCCCTAAAACACTAAAAAAATGATGGGGGAATTAGAAGTCTATCTAGGGTAGCACTGCTCCTTTAAAAAGATGAAAGGATCTCCAACCTTCCCTAGCTTCAAAATTCATTCCTGTGTTCCCACGCCTCTTTAAAAAGCCAAAACCCAGGCAGGAAATGACTTTAGGCTTCTGAAACTTAGCATGGGCGAGCCCAGTGGGCATCCCACAAGGAAAGGCGGTGTCAGTCACCACGACTGCGGCCAGCCTTTGGTGGCGCCCTTTAACTGTCCCCTTCCTGCTGGTAAAAAGCATCTTGTAATTCATACTGGTTAGATCTTACCGTCCTAACATTTTGGGCTTCCAGCGCTCTTTCGGGATGGCCGTTTACATGGATCAGTTCCCCTGTTTGCCATGGGCCATGTTCCAAGCACTCATGTCTAACTCCAACACGAGTGAAGGGTCGGCCAGGAATCATTTTGTTAAAAATAACACCCTGGGCGCCGAGCTGTGTGCAAGTGCCACTTGTGTAACGATTCACTTTAAAAGCTTAGTGTAAAGCACGGTAGCACAATGCAGCCCTGAAACCGGAGATGAGACACAACAGAAAAGGAAGTGAGCGTTAGCAAATTCTGCACGTAACCCAGGTACAGTACATTTGATCTCAGAGAGGGTGTTTTCTGATGTTCAAGGAGAGGGGAGAAGGGGTAAGAAAAGCTCGGCAGGGGTAGATGGAAACGGCACAACAGCTATTTTGCTTTTAATAAAGTAAATGTAATGACACCGAAGAATAGGAAGGTGACAGACACGTCAATATAGACTTTTTCTCTTGAGCAGCCTCTTCCTTCGCGCTGCACCCGGGTCAACAGTCACGCCAGCTCTGTTCTACTATCGCAGACACACGTTTTTCATATTCCCGCTTGTTCTCCTGGTACAGCTGGGCGGCCTGGCTGTTTGCTGGACTATTGGGATTGGGTTCATCCAACAGAGACTACAGAAACAACAGAAACAACCTGTAACAGGGCGGTCCCTTGATGCAAAAAAGTATACATTCCAACCAACCCACCGAATTGTCCTGAGTAACAACTCTCCGTTAGCTCCCTTAGCATCCTAACCCAGAGTACCCTTAATCTGCTGCTGGCTAGGCAGATGCCTGATTTCTGGGCTCTCGGGTCTTAATGAGCCACCCTCTACCTTAAGTTAGGACTGTCAAAAACCATTCAGTTGCTAATATACACAGAGCAAAGGCCAGAGGCGGCCACAGTAAGGAACAATCACCTGTATGGATGTTAAAATGGAAGACACGTCATAGGTTGGACTCCAACGGTTCTGAAGTATGTCCAGACATATACTACCATCTGCATAGACTGAGAGCACAGAAGTGATACTTAGTTAAATGCAATAAAACCCATTAAGACTATAACATAGTCAAGACAGACAGTCACGAATACTTTGCTCGGGAGGTTTTAAAAGATTCCTAAAGTGCTTCTCACTTAGCTTCCTAAAAAGAAGAGTCCTAATCACCGCTAGTCAAATAACCCGGGAACGTCAAATAGAATTGGTAAGAATCTAGAAGATACTTTGGGCGCTTTCTTCTGAAAAGACTGCCGTGTTATCCAGGAAATCACACATGTTATTCTGATGGCGTCCCTGGCCATCCAGATTTGTGAGAAATTTAGTCCACTAAATTTGTAAACGCGGTCTCCTATCTGAAATAACGACATAGTGCAGAGTTCACAAGGGCTCGTGTTGGCATGAAGATAAAAATATCTGATATCCTGGAAAAGACTTTATCAACTTTATCAATAAAAAGCAAGCTGTTCTGAGGCTGACTATGAGTGGGGGGCGGGGCGGGGGGGAATAAAGGCAGAACGTGAGTTAGGATCACCTGTGCTGCCGTAGCCCTCAGCCACAGAATCTGTATCTTTAAAACTGTTCCGTGGTTCATTCTGATCTGGATCTAAATTTGCAAATTATTGTTCTAACTAAGTAAATTGTTCTAAACGTGAAAATAATCACAACGCCAGATTACCCCAATCCAGCCTAACGTTAAAGGGAAACATCAAGGGCACCCTTATTTTTGTGCAATAAATAAATGATAAATATCATCAAAACCAGGCGGCTTGCAGGCTCCAAGTAAAGGCAGACTACCTTCACGGCTTCCGTTTGAGGACTAGAGATCAAGACAGCAAGGGACCCTCACGGACAAGTTCAGTTTTCAGGAAATGGCAAGGAGCCTAAACAGATGCCCGGGTACTACTATAGACTAATACATAGGAAACACGATACACCTCTGCAGTTCACAGCGTAGCAGTTTAAAGTATTGCACTGAGCGGCACCTGGGTGGCTCCGTCGGTTAAGCTTCTGACTTTGGCTCAGGTCATGGTCTCATGGTTCGTGGGTTCGAGCCCCGCATTGGGCTCTGCGCTGCTAGCTCAGACCCTGGAGCCTGTTTCAGATTCTGTGTCTCCCCCTCTCCCTACCCCTCTCCCGCTCGTGCTGTCTCTGTCTCAAAAATCAATAAACATTAAAAAAAAAAAAAAAAGGTATTGGGGCGCCTGGGTGGCTTAGTCGGTTAAGCGTCCGACTTTCGCTTAGGTCATGATTCGCGGTTTGTGGGTTCGAGCCCCGCGTCGGGCTCTGTGCTGACTGCCAGCTCAGAGCCTGGAGCCTGTTTCAGTCTGTGACTCCCTCTCTCTCTCCTAGAAATAAATAAAACATTAAAAAAAAAAAAGGTATTGCATTGAAAGTGCTACTTGCCATTTGGATGGAACATCTTGGAGACAAATCTAACTGTCGGTGGCTTATTTGGATATTCTTCGGTGAATTCTATTGTAAGCTTGAATGTTCCTGTAGTTGGAAAAAAAAAGGTTTAAGAAACAGATTTATTGCTCTGTTCAGCCATCTTAAACGCCAAATTACTGCCTGCAGGGTAACTTTAGCCACTGTATCTTTTGAAGGTATCCTTAAAATGACCAGAAATGAGCCAAAATTTGGTCTTCTTCCCTTACAAGGCTGAAAGACCTTTACGGCATGTTTTAACCAGCCTCCATCTTAAACTCTCCAGTGATTTGGCAACGGACTAGAAAGAGCAAGAGTACAAAGGTTCCAGAATCAATGCTAGAAATACAAATCGATAACCAAATTATTTTCCAAATGGAAGGGAATAAGTATAAGTGTGTTGACTGACTCCTTTTCATCTAAGAGCAACAACTATAATGAAAACACAACTGGACGCAATCCAGAAAAAACTTCACAGTCTCTCTCAAAAGTCCTTAAGTAGGACTCACAAGGTACTTTATTATAAAATCAACTCAATTATTCACACTAACAGAGGGAATTAATGGCAGAAATCTTTTAAAACTCACATTAGATTGCATTCATGTCTCCAGCAAATTTATCTAATGATGTTTGTTTAGGCTACTAGTGAAATGAATTTCTTTTCCTTGAATACGTGTCAACTAAGGCAGGAAGCCCAAAAGTACACTATAGACTTATTTGTAAGGGATGAACAAACTGGACCTCATTCACGAATCATAGGATGCTGGGGCTTGGGGAGGTTATTCCCTTGAAAATATTTTTTTTTTTTAAGTTGGGTTTAACAAATTCAAGGAAAAACTGGGCAATTGTTTTTTCCTGACTGAAATCTCTTTATCTTAAGGAATCTGTTACTGTCTGGGGTAAGGTGATGGACGTTTTACTGTATTACTCCGGTCCATTTCATACATTTATTCCAATATGACAGAGACCACACTTCAGCTGGAGTATACTTTGTTAACGGTTCCTTCAGAGTTGACAATTTATTTCCTCCTTCCATTAATAGGTTTATCCACCACTTTAAAAAAGGCTACATTCTATTGCTAGATCTGTTACATATTAACAATATCAAAGTTTGTTTTCTACCAGCACACTCCTACGAAACAATTTGCTAACAAAGCTGCCCTTAGTGAGAGCAGGTCTCCCAAAGTTTCAGAATAATTTAAAGTGTAAAATATGGACATATTCTCCCAAACTCCTATTACTCCCCAAGCTGTGTGGAAAGCCAGACCTGAAGACACTGTGCATTATAACTAAGAGCAAAAAGTACAATATTCTGGAACGGACACACATGCTATATACTCCATCAGAACACGCTTTACTTCATTAACTTGCCACCCGGTCATACGTCTTCCTGTTTTCGAGGGAAGAAAGATCAGATCTTCCTTTTCAGTACTACTGATATTAAAATACGCAGGAAAAAGCAGGGATGAGTATTAGTTCAAAATTGGGAGTTTGCTTATGTATCTCAAGTATTAAACACAATGGCTTGATGTTGACATCTGATTGAATTATAGGTAAGAGATTCATCATCAAGGAATGGCTCTAAACTTGGGGAGATTTAATAGCACACAGAGCTACTGGGTACTTTAAATTAAACAGGATAATCTAAAAGTGGTAAAGCAACACATAAGGCAGACATGTGTGGAAACAGAAGAGCATAGTGGGGAAGAGCAGCGGCTTAGCACCAAGACCTGGGCTTAATTCCTTGTGTTGCCACTTACTGGTTATGAGGCCTTGGGGAAGCCACTCGACTAAACCTCAATTTCCTCATCTGTAAAATGGGATTAAGAATGGTACCCACTACATAACATTGTTGTGAGATTTAAAGGAGGGAAATAGGCACAGTAACACAAGATAAGGGCTCCATAAATACTGTAGCTATAAAAATTCTAAAGGTTCAACTGAAGGAGGTAAGAACCAAAAATCCAAACTTCACGATCAGTAAGAAATATACAAGTAATGAATTCAAATCTTAAATAATACTTCCTTTCAGACCTACATCAAATGCTCACAGCTGAATTCAAGGTGAGTTGTATGGTGGTGGCTCTCAAACTTTCTCAAAAGAAAGTTCTTGGGACGCCTGGGTGGGTCAGTCGGTTAAGCATCCGGCTTCGGCTCAGGTCATGATCTCATGGTTCGTGAATTCAAACCCTGTGTTGGGCTCTGTGCCGACAGCTCAGAGCCTAGAGCCTGCTTAGGATTCTGTGTCTCCCTTTCTCTGCCCTTCCCCGGCTCGTACTCTCGTCTCTGTCTCTCTCAAAAATAAAATCATTAAAAAAAAAAAAGTTCTTGACTTGAATTTTCTGCCTAATACTTGCCCAGAAGTTCAACAAGGTGGTTACCTAGCTAGCTACCAAAGAAGTTAATCAAGCCTTTTAAAACAGCTCGTTTACTATTTGAGGAGTGAAACAATGTTGCTTATGTGTACTTAAATATAAATTAGGACTTACCCCAAATCTTATTCAAAGTACACTATTAGGTTGATACTTTCAGCCATGTTAAACTATCAGAATCTCTCTAATACAACCCTCAATGCAATTTCGGAGATCCAAAACAAATGTTAAGGAACTTAAAAAACTTAGAATATTATGCAGTTGAGACTAGTGCTTTTATTCTCTGGATATTTAGAAGGTCAGGCTTTAAATCAACTAAAACTTAAGCCTCACCATTGTACGCAATCGATACTGATTTTGTTCATCTTCCTGAGTAGGCCAAAACATTGTAAGGCAAGTATCAAGTAATCCATCTACATAGAAGTACTGGGAAGATTATATGTGTTACACAGCTGGCGTATGGCAATAAGGAGTGATAGCGTTAAAACTAGAGAGTGTATGTTCTGCTAAAGACATTTGCAAATTCAAATTTTTGAAAACACTGTGTGAGCCAAAGGAAACACCTCTGCAGGTGTTTTCTGCCTTTTGCCCACCAGTTTGTGACCCTGGAGAAGAAGACAGAGTCTATGCTTTTTTTTTTTTTTTTTGAGAATTGGAAATTCTGATTTTTAATAATCAAATATTTTTCATCATAGGATGTATCTACCTTAAGAACACTCACAATGGATTTCAAGTGATTCATTTTGAAAAGACTTACATCCAGATTCTTAAGAACACACGTATTATGAAAAGTGAATCCTAGTATCTTACTGTGTCTATTAATAACTTTTAGATGATACAAAGGAAAGTACTTTATTCCATAGTCTTTGTACTCAGCATACACACTAAGATATTCTGATGAGGAAGCTTGCCCCCCAGCGTTTTGTTTGGTAGTGTGAGTTCTTGGGACCATTTTCCTCTTATTGAAGCATGTGATGTTAAATCAAGATACCTTGAAGAGTTCCTTTTCGTTAAGTCATCATCTCTTTAAGTAGGGCCTGGCTGTTTCAGAAACTCCCACCGCAAAGGGTTTGCAAGGAAGCGGCAAATGTAGTTTTGGGGCCATCGATTCATATACTACACTGGCAACCGCAAAACCAATGACGCCACTTGTCGTTAATCGGTCTTTTCTAGTCAATTCCCTAATTGTAAATAAAGCGTATTCAAAAAGGGCCAAAATATTTCCTGCAGCCACAGTCAGCGTTCCAGACACCTGCGGAAGCCTCCATGGACAGCAGACGGCTCAACAGAATGAAGCAGAAAAGGGTGTTGTTATTTAGCTGGAGTAATTCCTTTCAGTAATGCCAGTACAGACACACGCGCCGTCAAAAATAGAACAAGTGACGGCAACGGGAAAGATCCAGGTAGATAATGGATTCCTTAAGTACTTTTCAATTCATACCACTTAAAACAAGTGAAGCACCCTTGAAATATTTAAGTAGCCAGTCCTCCGGCAAAATGATGTACTATTAATAAAGCTGTGCCCAACACAAAGCTGTCTGGGTAAAATCAGGAGGAGGAAAAAGAAAAAAGCCAATGAAAACAAAGTCGGCTGGAGCTAAAGCAAATACACTGTTAATCTGCACACAGTGCTTAGGTGTAAGGAACCAGCGCCAAGCCAGTAGAGGAAAATTAAGTCTAGCGAGCGAGCTCTTGCTACTGGTCGGGTCAGTTCAAATGATCTCCTGCACCAAAGTAGTGTGCCTTTAGAATCAGTCGCACTTGCTGTCATTTCTTTTTATTGCAGCACTGAGAACCAGTGCTATTTACCCAGGGGGGTGGAGGGAGAAGGGAAGCTCTAAGTATTCAGGCAACTGTCCACAGTCTCCCAGGGGCATCTGAGTATTTCGGACAAGTATAAAATGGGTTGATATTGCCCTATCTCACATCTTGTGGACTGGTAGCATCAAAAAGCAATCCAGCTTCGTAAGAGAAGCATATACTTAGTAGCCTGCGGAGATAGTTTTGTTCCCACCTTCAAAGTTATGTGCATGCATATGTGCACGTGTGTGTACATCAAATGCTAAATGAGTAGAGATAGTCACTGGGAAAAAAAAATAGCACAGATTCTTCTCTTTTAAATACCTCGAGTATTAAAGATGTCAATCAGTAGTTTGAGTAGTTTTAACCATGTTCTAAATGTTTTAAGCTTTCAAAAAAAACAACCACACATACACACAAACAACTGAATGCACATAAAACTCTTATCGGTGTCAATTTCCTGGTGGTGAATATTGTAGGACAGTCATTCAAGAGGTTACCAGAAGGGTGGAGGAGTGGGTAAAGGGCATACAAGGTCTCTCTGCATTATTATTAATTACACCTGCATGTGAATCTATAATTATCTCAAAATAGAAAGGTTGTTTTTTTAAAAAATCCTTAAAAAGCAACCCAAGCCTTTTTAAAAGTCAAACCTAAATCCATGAAACCTCAGGCACCTGTGGGTACACACAGTACCTTCAAGTAGGCTGGGAACTGGTCAAGAGGTTACATTAAGGATACCCTCGATTGTGAAGCTGCTTGGACACTACTCACCATAAAGTCTTGATAAAAGCACACTGAACACTGATTTTAAAAAAGGAAACAAAAGGGGCGCCTGGGTGGCTCAGTCGGTTGTGAGTCCGACTTCGGCTCGGGTCATGATCTCATAGTTCGTGGGTTCGAGCCCTGCATCTGGCTGTGTTGACCGCTAACTCAGAGATCAGTGCTAACAGCTAGCTCAGAGCCTGCAGCCTGCTTCGGATTCTGTATCTCCCTCTCTTTCTGACCCACCCCTGCTTACACTGTCTCTCTCTCTCTCTCTCTCTCTCACAAATAAATAAAAAACATTTTTAAAAAATTGAAAAAATAAAAAAGGAAACAATGTTATACTCAAACTGGCCATTAAAGGAGCCATTAAAGACCATCTCAGAGCAGGGAGGCTGACAGCTGAAGAACCGTCAGATTATAGAAACCCGACAGTTCTGTGCAAGGGATTCTTGCACTTGTCCAACATCCAGCAGACACACAGGAAGCACCTGCTGAACATAGTTCCTGCCCTTGCCGGACGAATTCTGAGCTAGGTGGTCTCCCTGTCTCTGAGTCTATCAGCAAGTGGCTGGGCTGATACTAAGTATCTTGATAACGAGCTGAAATTAACAGGATCGCAGCCCAAACCTCAGGAATCGTGAACACCACTGCTATGATGCTCCTTTTAAAAAAAAGCAACGGCCAGGGCGCCTGGGTGGCTCAATCGGTTGAGCGTCCCACTTCGGCTCAGGTCATGATCTCGTGGTTCGTGGGTTCGAGCCCCGCGTCGGGCTCTGTGCTGACAGCCAGCTCAAGAGCCTGAAGCCTGTTTCAGATTCTGTGTTTCCCTCTCTCTCTGACCCTCCCCTGCTCAGGCTGTGTGTGTGTCTGTCTCTCTCTAAGAAATAAATAAAACATTAAAAAAAAGTTTTTTTTAAAGCGATGGGCTTACCCAGATTTTTTTTTTTTTTAAAGAAACAAGCAAGAAAGAAGGCGCAGTTCTAAGTGAACAATGGTCAAAACAACCTGCCACATACTGTATTCGAGGCAAGCTTTTAGCAGGCAGAGGCTAGGGAGAAGCAGGCTCTTAAGTAGGAGGTATTTCAGAAAGACTGGGAACCCTCTCCCCCAGAGATGATCAGGCTTCTGAAAGGTGGGTAAAGAAACTCTCTTACCATCCTCAAACGGGGTCCCTTCAGGCCTGCAACACAGAGAACAAGAGTCAGTTCCCGCTTTCAGGGGCTCCCTTCTCCGGTAAGAGGCTCATCTTAAGAGATGGCTATTCCAGGCTCTGTCAAGTGAAGCCTCCGATAAACCACTGCTCCCTGGGTCTGAAAAGCCACTACCAATCAATGGTTCGGGCTCGCAAACCCGGCGCAGGCCGCCGCGCCTGCCCGCTACCACTCCCCGCTCCGCCCCCCTCAGAACCCCAGACGGTTCCCCTGGCAGCGGGAACCGAGCTAATCGAGGTACAGGCTCCGGAGAGGCGCCTAGGCCCGGCCGGACCCGAATATTTTCCCTCTCCCCTTCCGCCCTCACGAGGGGGAGGCCGCCCCGCGTCCCCCCCCCCTCCCCCCTCTCGCCACCATCCGGAACGCAGACTCACCCAAAAATGACCGCGTTCCAAACCATTATGTTGTTCTCGGACGGAGCCCCGCTGACTCCGGCCGGGGGATCCTCCTGCAACCTTCAGGGAAACAGACAGGGGCTCCGCAATCCGGCCCCGGCGCCCGCGCCGGGCCGCCCCCTACCGCAGCCGGCCCGCCTCGGGACCCGCCCTGAGCCCCGCCCGGCAGCCCCCGGCCTCGGCGCTCCCTCCCGGTCGCTGTACCTCTTGAAGTCCCGCATGAGGCGCCGCCGAGCCGGGGTGGACATATCTCTAGCGGGGTCAGGGGTGGGGCATACACCGACGTCCCGGGTCCCGGCGGGGGCTGAGGAGGCCGCGGAGGCCGACGGGGCTGAAGGAGCCGAAGTGGCGGCTGAGGAAGCGCCCAGAGGCACAGCGCTGCCCCTCCGAAGTCGAGGGTCGGTCTGGCGCCGGCTAAGCACCACCCCGGAGTAGACGGGGGCTGAACCAACCTGGAAGGAGAGGGGGGGTGTGGAACGCCGAACGCCAAACGCCGGACAGGCCGTACCAACACCGGGAGGGGACGGGGGAGGGTGGCGAGGAAAGTTGCTTAGGTCATTAAACCCCAGCGGGCGGCGCGGAGCGCCGGGCTCGTGCCGGGTGAGAGGCGGGCTGCCGGCCGCGCGGCAGCCTGTAATTCACTAGGAATTCGTGGTGGCCTGGGGTCCGTCTCCACCTGCCTAGGCTGAGACGAACCCCGGGAAGCCTTTTTTCCGCTTTTCTTTCTTTCTCTCTCTCTCTTTTTTTTCTTTTTAAGAGAGGATCACTTATTACAGTACGCACTGTGGCTGGCGAGCGGGTGGAGAGAAGGGTGGAAGTCCCTAAGTAGAAAGGAGGACAGAGTGGGTGGAGGCAAATCTAGTTCTCAAAAAGCGGGAGATCCAGGGGGTAGACCCCCTGGGGACACGGGGGACGGGGGGAGGAGGCTGTGGGACTGGTTAAAATCACTGAAAATCCAGAGGATACACCGGCCCCGACTCTCAAAGGGGGAGCTGTGGGTCCCTTGTTTAGGAGAAGAACGTGCGGCATGCTGGTCCCCACGTTTAGGCCAGTGATCACCCCCTCCCCCCAAAGCGGAATAAAATGGTGGTGTGTGTCCTGGGGGTGGGGAGGGAATGAGAGCTTAAGACAAGCAGAATGAGGTTTTAGCTCTGGGCACTCACAATTTGGCTCTGGAACCACATTTCCCCTTGGCACGTCAACAAGCCAAGCGGCTACTATGTATTCAGAAGAGTCCAAGGTATGAGAATATCCGACTGCGGAGGATTGGAAGGGCAGAGAGTCTGAAGTAAAAGTAACGGTAAGACGCACGTGAAAAAGCTGCAGGCTGCAGAGAAGAGTCACAGGTTAGTATGTGGAACCTGCCAAAGCAATAACAGTTTTAAAGAATAATTTGTTAAGGTCAACCCAAAGTAACTTAGAAAGTCGGCAAAACACTCGTTTACGAGTGGGTGAAAATACGAGAAAGGTACGTTTGGGTTCAGTCACAGAGAGCTTTGAATGCCAAGCTAATGGGTTCTTTGGAAGGTGGCTGAGAATAATTAGAGCCGAGCTAGTCAGAGGCTGGTCCCAGGAGAGCAGCTAAGAGATGTTGGAAGGAGTCAGGTGAGAAACGCTGAACCAGCCAGTGACAACAGAAATGGAGAGGAGGGGATGACTTGAGAGGACCCGGCAAGGGATTGCACTTGGAGGCAAGAGAGATGAAGGAGTCAACGATGGTAGGAGTTCTCAGCCCCGAGGTAACTGGGAGGTTGCAGATGCCATGAACAGAATTGGGGAACGGAGTGGGGAGGGGTAGTTTGGGGAGAGCAGGTTTGGGGACTTCCTGAGTTCCTGGTCAAGATGTCCATAAGATGTCAGAAGTGCAGAAATTTGTTTCTAAGGCGGGAGGCAGGGGACACTTGGCAGTGTTAGTGATTCTAGCTGCTGCATTTATGGACAAGGGTTTATAGCTCCCACTGACTGCGACGCATCAGGAGGTAAGACAAGTCTCCCCAATAGCATTGCATCGTGACTATGGTGGGAAGTGGGTACAGAAATAAGTTACAAATCTCCTTTTCCTCTCATATAGTAACTTGCAGTCTAACACCTGCATATATAATCTACAAAAGCGAGCGCGTGAGTGTTCTATTACTACTCAGCGAATTATCCCAAGCTGTTGACCAAATTCATTTCCTTGAGGTTGTAGGACTGAGGCCCCCATTTGCTCACAGGCTGCCAGCCAGGGACGGGTCTCAGCCCCTAGAGGTCACCCACATCCCTTGCCACGTGGCCTACTCCCATTTTCAAGCGAGCAACAGAGAACTTGTCTCCCATTAAATCCCTCTCTTGTGCTTTGACTTTCTTCAGGAAGAGCCCAGTTCACTTTAAGGGCTTATCTAATTGGGTCAGGCCCACCCGGGGGAATCTCCTTATCTTAGTATCATCTGATTTGGGACCTTAACTGTGACAGCTGCAAAATGCCTTCACAGCAAGAGCCTAGATTTGTGTTTGATTAACTGGAAGAAGGTAGGTGTGCACATGATACATAGCAGAAGCATGTGAATCTATCCATGTTGAGGGGCCACATGGGGTGGGGGGGGGGAGTCCTCAGTCCAGTGGGGTGAGAACAAGCTTCCTGGAATGGGTCGGTTTCAATTTTCTTTCAAAACAGGTGACAGCAGGGCTTGGGAGAGTAGTCAGGCAGCTTCTACGAGAACAACAGAAGTTAAGAGGACATGGAGCTCAACCATGTTCTGGGGATGTTGGGCACGTTAGCGGGGCTCATGGGAGACGCCAAGACGTCTGCCTGGAAAAGTGGGGGCGACAGTTGATTAAATGCCCTCAACGAAAAGCCCTCAAATTCGAGGATGAGGGCTTCAGGCTTGATAGGCAGCTTCGATCGGTTTTAGAGGTGTCACTTTCACAGGTGCTGGGAAGCTGCTGTAACGCACTGGAGAGCATGGAGGAGACTGGGAAAGTCCTGCCGCCGGATACAAATGTCTGAAACTCACTGATGGCCAGAGAAGTATCTGGCTTCGCTGGAGGCTTGTTTATTTTCTGAAACTCCTTTGCTCTAGCTTCTGAGTAGCTCTTTGACTACCTAATCAAGGAAATGCAGGGACATGAACCAAAGCATTTTGGGAGCCCGTGGCAGCAGGGGGCGGGGAGAACATGACCTGACTGCGCAGTGGAATTGCATTGCAGAAATACTGTGCCCTCGCGTTACTCATCCCCGTAACAAGCAGCCACACAGGCGATTGCCGTGTAGCACAGATGATGGTCAGGTTAGAACATACTATCTATAGCATAGTTGGCCAAGCGTTCCTTCCATCCCCTTTTCTCCTCGACATGTTGAAGAAATCACCCTCTTCACAGCCAAGCATCATCACCCCCTCCCCAGAAGCAGGGGTGAAGAAGAGAAGTCCTTTGTAGTGCAAAGAAAAGCGTGTTAGCAATGCAGCTGGGGGCAGATACAAAGTCCCAAACCATCCACGGGCAAGCATTTGAGAATTTTCCTAAAAGGGAGGCCTGTGAAATATGGGAATATATCACTAGGGAAATTGTGGAATTTCATTCACGAGGCTTTCAAAATGTAGACTGGATTGTGATTTTCCTGAACTATTTTGGGTTGGAGAGAGACAGACTGAATAAACCATCACTTCCTGCCTTATGAGGCTCTGAGTTTGTATTCCTGTTAGCGACGGCAAGGAATTTTATTTTCTTATAGTTCCCACTTCTGTTGTGAAAATTTAGTACAAATGGGGGGGGCGCCCGGGGGGCTCAGTCAGTTAAGCGTCCGACTTCGGCTCAGGTCATGATCTCGTGGTTCGTGAGTTCGAGCCCCGCGTCAGGCTCTGTGCTGACAGCTCGGAGCCTGGAGCCTGCTTCAGATTCTGTGTCTCCCTCTCTCTCTCTGCCCTTTCCCCACTCACACTCTGTTTCTCTCTCTCAAAAATAAATAAGCATTTAAAAAAATTTAAAATGCCCCGCTATGTACTACCTCCAAGAAACCAACTTTAAATATAAAGGCACAACTAGGTTGAAGACCAAAAAAAAAAAAAAAAAACAAAAAACCCAGTACAAACAGCAACCAGGGAACAACAGAGTATAAAATCAAAAAGTCTTTCTTGGGGCACCTTGTTGGCTCAATTAGTGGAGCATTTGACCCATTCTTTTTCTTTTCTTTTTTTTTTTCCCCCCTTAAGTGGGCTCCACACCCAGCATGGAGCCCATGCGGGCCTTCAACTCACCACCCTGAGATCAAGACCTGAGCTGAGATCAAGAGCAGCCGCTCGGGGTGCCTGGGTGGCTTAGTCGGTTAAGCGTCCAACTTTCGCTTAGGTCATGATCTCGCGGTTCGTGGGTTCGAGCCCTGCGTCGGGCTCTGTGCTGACTGCCAGCTCAGAGCCTGGAGCCTGTTTCAGTCTGCGACTCCCTCTCTCTCTGACCCTCCCCTGCTCACACTGTCTCTCTCTCTCTCTCCTAGAAATAAATAAAACATTAAAAAAAAAAAAAAGCAGCCGCTCAACCTACAGAGCCAGCCAGGCGCCCCAGCATGTGACTCTTGATCTTGAGATCATGGGTTTGAGCCCCACATTGGATGTAGAGATTACTTAAAAATAAAAATATTTTTAGGGGCATCTGGGTGGCTCAGTCAATTGAACGTCTGACTTCTGCTCAGGTCATGATCTCACGGTTTGTGAGTTCAAGCCTCATAATCAGGCTTGTTTCTGTTAGCATAGATCCTGCTTCAGATCTCCCCTCCCCCCACCCCCCCACCCCCCTGCCGGCTCCTTCCCAGCTTGTGCTCTCTTTCTCTCTCTCAAAAATAAATAAACCTTCAAAAAATATTAAAAAAATATTTTTAAAAAGTCCATCTTGACTCCAATAACCTCAGAAGAGAAGTCAAGAATTGCTTATAGGCAATAACAGTTTCACAGTGTGTGTTCTTGGCAGTAAAAGCAGTAGTATGCTGTCCATCTACAGCCTCTAGGACATAAGGAGAGAAAGAGAGAGGAGAGAGAAGTAGTGAAGTTTAGAGAAATGAGGAAATTGGAGCCACGAACATAGAATTTCACTACCTGCTAAGTTGCAGAATCAAAAATAAAGGCATGGCTTGGTATGCTGCATAATGCACCCCCTCCCCAAGATGTTCTTGTCCTAAGCTCTGAAATTCATGGATATATTACCTTGTATGGCACAAGGGACTTCACAGATGTGGTTCAATTAAGAATCTTGAGACGGGGAGATAAACTGGGGTAAAACCAGTGGGCCTGATGTATTCACACGGGTCCTTATAAGAGGGAAGATCTTGTCTGAATTCAAAGAGAAGGCCATGTGACATGGGAGCAGAGGTCCGAGTGATACAGCCACCGGCCCAGGAGCCAAGGGATGGCGGTAACTTCTAGAAGCTGGAAGAGGCACAAATGGGGTTTCCCCTGGAGCTTCTAGGAGCCACCAGCCCTGCTGACATCTTGACTTCAG